CTGGTAAAATGTGATCAACACATGACAGAGAATGGTGCCATCACTGGTAGGTCAAGAAGCAGATGTGAATTAAGTACTTCCTATGCTCCCATATTTTCCAGAATATATTTACTGATAATTTTGCATAACTTAGCTTATACAGATTTTTAGTGTGAACTCTAAAATCTACTGCAGCTTATAAAACCAGCACCAAGAATTTCTATATTTGTTCTAAAGGCAATTATACATATATTTGCATGCATTCACGAATATAGGATGTATTTTGTTGGGGCTGTTGTGTGCTTCTTTCATATCTTCTCTGATTCTTTCAATGCACATAAACCCTTGGACAACAAAATTTCACAATCTTACAATTTACCTATCCCATTGAGTAAACAAAAACCTTGCAAGGACAGAAAGTAAGACTAACCAACTAATAATTTGAAGTGTTATGTACTCTTTCTTATTCATTAACATAAGATTGTCACAGCATGGACTCATGTTTTCTGTCAAATTTTAATGATCTGGCTTCCTGTTTGAAATCACTTAACATCCCAATGGCACAAAATATATTGTTGTTTGTCTCTATGCATGAGATGAACTATGCAATGAATTTACATTCTTCTTAAGCTATTTTATTTTAAATATCTGTTAATGAATGTGAGTCAGCAGTTGTGTAATGCAAACAATTGATAGAGAAGGTTACAGAGTCTAAATTGTTTGGGGAAATCCATATAAATGGCTAGTATAAATTAAAAAATAAAACATTTTTAAAATGGAAAATTATTGTGACCTGCAAAGTTATATGATATCCCCAGACTAGGAAAAAAAAAAAAAAAAAAAAAAAAAAAAAAAAAAAAAAAGAGAGAGATCAAATCCTATGTGAAAGTGTGGGAGTATCTTATTTGCTGCCTAAGTTAGCAAAAGGCTGAGCAGGCACTGGTGCCCACTTGTTTTGTATGATGCCCTTCAGTCTTGACTGTTCCCCTAGGTACTCCAAGGGAATGGTCTCTGTCAGGATCTCTGTCCTAACAACTAACACCTGCTCTGGTATTCTTTCTTGTAGAGGACCAGATGTAGTACCTGAATCTTAATTGTCTATTAGTCATCTTTCCCATTATCCTTTTAGAACTTTGAGTCTAATTTACAGTATAGTTTATCATGAAATAGGATCAAACCAAGTGTGGTACACATAGATTTTTCAAACATCTGATTGCTTCTATTTACATTTTTAAGGACTGGAGAAACCTGGAATCTCTTGATCTTACTTCTCTTAAGAGTCCTTGGTGTTTATTGAAAGATACATTTCCTCATCATCTCATGGGGATCCTGTGATTAAATTGGAATAGTAAATTTCATTAATATAAATAGGTAAGAAAGGGAAAAAAAGCCTCTAATAAATAGTAGTTTTCAAATTACACTTTAAAATCCTCATACAGAAACTGAAAATACTTATTGCTGTGCTATTTGCCCCAAGAAGGTCTGAAACAGTATCTCTCAGAGGAATGAACAATTCAGTTCAGCTTTAACTGAATGTGAAAATTTAAACCCCAGCTTTTATGAGCTTAATCAGTTGCATTTCAGCAGAGGACAACAATAATAGGCTGCAATTCATGCAGAAAGATAGTAGTATGGAACAGTATTCTTCTGCATTACTGCTTCTCTGTCACGGATACTTTTAAATAATAAAATCCAAAAAGCCCCAAATATTTGCAGTCATCATGCACACCTGAAGGCAAGGCCTGTTCGTTTGTGTTCCTAGTGAGAAGTGCTGTGTTCCCTGCATAGCCATCACTGTGAAAATATCCATCTGTGGTTGCAACATCTTGTGCACAAAAATGACTGAATTTGGCCATGGGACATTTTTCATTATGTTCCACTTCATATCATCTCCCTGACAAGTATTCTTCATATCTATGATGTCCAAACATACTGTGAGATGAATTTTTGGAACATATCTAGTAAAATATATTTGTACCATTAACAATCAGTTACGCTTTGAACCAGTCTTTGATAGCTTTCATTAAAATATATTCTTCCCATCCCTGAAAGTTTTCAAAGCCAGAGCTCTGGATGGAGCTCTGAACAACCTGGTCTAGTGAAAGGTGTCCCTGACCATGCTAGAGGCTTGGAACTAGATGATCTTTAATACTCCTTCCAATCTAAACCATTCTGTGTTTCTATGATTCCATTATTGGTCTTGTATTATCACTACTTACCTATTTGCTTGTCAGATGCAAGATACTGCAGAGACCTTCTTTTTGACTTCTTCTTCCTCCTTCCACCTTGAATTGATCATCAGGTCCCAAATTACTTTCTCTGTGGTGTTCTTAGATTTTTTTTTTCCTAATTTGCACTCATGGAAATTGAATCAGAATAGAATATCACCCCTCAGCATCTGGTTTTTTGTGCTTGAATTAGAAGCAAGTAGTTCTTGCTAACTTCAAATCAGCCTATATTGTCTTTGTCTTCACACAAGAGTTTGTTTTCTAGCTTCTGTCTCCTTTTGTGCCACTCCTGATTTTTAATTGCTCTATATAAACACAACTTTCTAACTAACGTTCTCAGAACACCTCTGTTTTTTTTAGTATAGTATCTGCTGGTGTGTTTTATTTATAAACATTACGTTCACATATATATTTGCAGTGTATTGTACTGGTGAAAAGAAATTTTATTTAATTGCATCAGTTACATAGAGCTGTGGGCTATGATTGTGCTCAATTACACATAGCATTACAGTGAGTTCAGTAAAGTTATGGAAGACTGAAGCAACATTTCCCTTTTAGATAACCAGCAAAGTAACTGAAGATTTTTTTTTTCTCTTCCTTTCTGGAAAATGTTTACTTTTAGGTTTTAATTACCAAATATTTTAGATATGGGAAATAAATTTTACTCAATGTACATTGAAACATACTGGGGAGAACATATGCATGCTGCCTAATTGTTTAACTTTTTTTATTTTTTAAAGTTCAGTATTTACGCACATGAATGATAAATATTTAGGTGTTCCTAAAACTAATCATATTTAACAATTTTCAGTTTCAGGTAGACTTGAACAACTGTAATGCAGTTTTGAAGTTTCTGTAAAATAATTTAAAAGAATGCATTTCAAGAAATCACCTTATTACCTGAAAGAAAAACATGTTTATTTTAATTAAAATAACAGCAGTTAAAACAACCATGTAATATAGGTGCTTAAATTGTATTTAAGAAAATGAGCTGGAAATTTTTGAATGAGAAAAAATGATGTTTCAAGTATGTATTTACATTTCAGAAGAACATTGACAGTACACAATGCACCTAATGTACTTCGTATCTGTTAAAAAAATGAAATCTCTGTGTTTGAAGTAAACAAAACCAGTCCTAAATTATTTCATATGTAACTGTAACTTGCTACTAAGTAAATATTTTCAGTATTTTGGTTAGAAAAGTAAAATTTATTTTTCTTACATTGTTCTTTCAGAACTTTAAATTTTCAGGCTATTATCTGTAGATTTTGCTTAGATTAAAATACATGCTTTTGACAAGGCTTTCATAGTTTCCAGTAACACAAACAGGGATTTATCATGCTGGAGTAATTAATGCTTGATTTAGGAATAAATCCCAGAAGTCTTCAAGCATTTTTTAGGTCAAAAATTGTGGTTTTTTTCTGCTTTTTATTTAAAAAATTTACATTAGATAGTTGATATCTTGTATGGATTAATTTTATACTATTTCTTTGTCCCTTTAATGTCCTTGTTCCTCTAATGCTTCTCCTTAATTAACATTGAATAAAGAAGGAAGGGTAGAAATGTTCTTCTGACACCTTTGATGCAGGATACATTTGAAAACCAACTGAAATTCCTTGCCAGCATGTTCTTGACAGTGGGAGTTATTCTTTGGTAACAAAACTGTGGGATGTCAGTGACACTTGCTCAGTATTTGCACGAGGAATTCAAAGAGCTTGTGAGTGCAACCTGGTTCTGAAGTCTGCAAAACACACTGCCATTCACATCTCTGCATGTAGCTGTTTAGGGACAATATTGTAAACAGTGGAGGAAATTCAGTGGTGATTCTTCTTTTCTTCTAAAAAGATGTTGCAAGTTGGTTGAAGCAGTTTAATGTTATACTGTGTTTTTAGGCCTTTGAAGATCATTCAGTTACATTCTATACAGAGACCTAGTTGACAATGTCTTTAGTTTAAATATGTTTTTATTCTAGGTATTAGGTATCTGTCATGAATGCACATTTTAGATTTACTAGGTTGTCAAAATCTTTCAGAGCTTATGCTTAAAAACGACATTTTTCTTCTAGTAATGGTAGAAACGAGTATGTTCTATACATAATTCTCTTTGTATTGGACACTTCTGTGTTAGAAAGCTGGCAATGCTTGTTCAAATGGAGTCCATGAACTGCAGGTCTAAACAGAAGCTTGTCATGAATTTAGTGTCTCAGCCTGGTTTTCTCTTTATTTTTTACCTAGGGATATTGTTGAATGTTTTAAGAAAAAAAATTACTTGAACAATTATCAGAACTGATTTTGCATACTTGATTTTGCACCTAGGATAAAAGGGTAGAGTAAGTGATGTTTCCAAAGCTGTTCCAGCTGTTCCTTCATCATTCATTAAGGAAATGAACTTGCTGAGAGTTTGATGACTTTGGTGATTGGCAGCAAATTGCTTTGAAATAATTTTATTTAGAGTTAAATATTCTAGTTTCTTTTATATCTTCTAATAAGAAAAAAAAATACAAGAAAATTACATAGTGTTTCAGAATTTAGAAATAATTTTGTGTGTATTCACGTCTCCTGGATTCTAAACAGCAGAATGAACCACAGTGATCGCAGAAATATCCCATTGTTCAAATGAGCTTGCCAAAGGTTTCAGTTCCTATAATGCAGGAGATTTTATTTTCTTTTTTGCAAGCATAATTTGGAGAGTCTAATATATGTGTCTAAAATCCAGAGGGTTTTTTTTTTTGTTTTGTTTTGTTTTTCATTCTAGTGGCTGAGTATTAACCTATTTCTTTATTCATTTTTATAGATTAAAAAAATCAACAGGAATTTTCCCGTAAACCAGCAGGTAAGAAAAAGAAAATTTGGATTTTTTAAATTTATAATTCAAGTTCTCACTTTAACTATCTTTAATTGTGCAATAGCTGTTCATTGTTTTACCTGAAGAAATTCTCAGTAGATTTTCTTTAGAGATTTCCTTGGTGTTTTTACTTTCTCAAAGGGAATTGGAGTGTTTCATCAAAGTAAGAACATTCCTAATCTTTTCAAATTAACTTGATGCAGGTATATACACTTTTCTTCAGATTGTGTCTTACCAATTTTACTATAAAAGGGGAATGTTGTCATTATCCTTTACAGAATTTACGAGAATAAATCATAGTTCCAAAATTCTGAAAATGTATGGTCTTTTTTTTCTCTTCTTTTTTTTTTTACCAGTTGACAAATATAGGTAAAAAAAAATAATATCTGCACAACTATTTAAGCAAAATATGAATAAAAATTACCAAGGTAAAACTCAGTACACTGCGCAATTAATTATGTATATGTTTTGTATGATAACTATTAATTATATAATGATAATTTCCACTCAAAGAAACTTGTTAAAGGGAAATAAAGCAATATGGTTCATAAGAAAAAAAATGATTCCTCATGAAAGGAGAGAAATATATATAGGACTGAGCTGTAAACTTGCCTTCAAGAGGAGACAGGCTTGAGGAAGAAAAGTGTTTTCACCTCCCTTACTCCAAATCTGCAGTTAGCCAATATATTTCTCAGTTCCCTTTCTCTAATCCACCTTTATTTATATGGACTTGCACTGAGTGTAACTCACAAAGGAGGTAGATAATTCTATTTTGTTTTCTGTTTTCTTCATGAGAAGATGCAAAAATGCAAAAAATTAATGAAAATTATATAATACTACTAATATTAATAAAAACAACTATATAAGGGTAAGTATAAATGTTACAATAGATGACGTTACAATAGATGAAGTTAGTATTTGCATTTGGGAATTTTCATAACAATTTGCATAACATCAGATGCACTATATGCATATAAAATATGCTCCTATCTCAAAAGAAGGAAGAAGATACCGACTTAATGAACAAAAAGCAGTTAATTGGCTCCATTTTAAATGTTATGATTTACTCTGAAATTATCTCCTTGCTTTTATTACTGTAAAAAATGAAGACAAAAAAAAATAAATGACAGTTAAAATGTGCTGCCACTCTAACATATAATTTAGGGATCTCTGCTGCTTTGGAACCCTTGGCACATGGAGTCAGCAAGGCATTTTGGCCATGCTATCTGTCAGGACAGCCTGTAATTATAGTGCATTAATCTCTCAACAGCACCAATCATTATACTCCGAAAGAAATACTATAGAGCACTCCAAGAAACTCAGTCAAAAGGTCAAATGGGAAAGAGGCTGGTTTGATGGGCAGTGAGACTGGTAAGGTCTTGTTGCCTGTCAAATATTGGAGAAGAAAAAGGTTTACTTATCTGTGGATGTCAGAGATTTTAGGGAACATTGAATTCAAAACCAGATTTCCGTTTTTGGCTAACCTTATATTGAGACAGTTGTTGTTTTTTATCATAAAAGAAGTTAGGAAAATCACCTAATTTAAGTGAAATAGTTAAATAATATTTTTTAGTAGAATCAGAAAAGGCTACAAATGTAAGATTAATTTCTGTCTTCATATGCAACAGATATCAACATGGTATGCAGAGAAGAAACAGGACTCTTTACTTGTTATATCAACACATAATTTATCTAAAAATTTATCTAAAATCTCAAATAGTCTTGTCATCTTGATTTTTTTGAATAAAATTAATCTTTGTCTAAGAGGTTGAACAGCTAGTTTTAACTTCTTTCTGCAAATACATCACGAACTTGAAAGCTGTCTTCATCCTATTATACTTTAAAAAAAAGCAAACAAATATTTAATTTCACTTAACAAATACCCAGAGTTTTGTTTGGTTGTTTTTTTTAATTAGCACTAGCAGGGTAATTGAAGGTTATTTTCACTTAGAATTTTTATACATATATATGTGGATTTTAATTAGTGAAATAAAAAGGGAAGGCAGTTTTCAAACTAGAGTCAAGGAACCAACCCATAGAATACCTTCAGGAAAATATTCTTGATATGGAGAAGACAATAGGAGCACAGACAGATCTATTAGCATTACAATGCGAAAACAAATGTACCTGCAAAGGTGTGTAAGATGCTGTAACTCCAATAGTATTATCCAGACATTTCAATATTGCAACAAGTTAAACAGATAAAAGAAAAAGTAATTACAAAAGTCTTGTTGACTGTACATAATGTGGCAGTTTCGTTTAATACAGTAATTGTGAAGGTAGGTTGTCTGGAAAATCATTAGAAAGATAACATATAGTAATTAAAATTTAAAATTTAAAGGTGATGGATATTGATAAGAAGGTAGTAATTATTTGGACATCATGAAGCAATAAGAAGTTCTCAGAATGGTGGTAGTACATTTAATAGTGGTGCAAATATGCAAAAAATGCTGGAAGAGGACTCCACAGACAAAAAGAAATGTTTGAAAAAGATTGTAGGACAAGAGGGAAATAAAGCTCCCCCTCTCTGAGTTGACAGTGATTAAAAGAACACTTGAAATGGTAAAAAATAGAAAACTAATTGTGTTTGCTATATTGGAATTGTATGCATTGGATATAAATAGCAACATTTAATAGCATAATAGCAAGTGGTTGAGAAAAATAAATAATTTTGGACTCAAAATGTACTGAATATTTCAAATAAGCACTAAGAAGTATGATGTTGTAGACAAAAATTCCATAAATTCAGAGAAAATAATATATTTCAAGGCTTCAGCCAGAGGCTTCTCTAGTTGATCAGCCAAGATGGGAGTGGAAACATGGTCATGTTTCCTTTTCTTGGGACTCCTGACCTCTGATGAGCTGTTACCCTGATTACAGCAAATGTCAGCTCCTGTGAGAGCCATCATTAGGAAGGTGAGTTTTGAAAGGCAGCATTGACTCCCTGCTGGCTCTTTCCAAATGACAGGTGTGGCGTAGTAAGGACAATAAGCTGTGGTGGTGTAATAAGGACAAACACTGCCCATTCCTTTTCAATTCTCAATCTTTTCATTATCCACCATGAATTTGCAAATATGCTGATCTCGGCTGAAAATCGACTTGATAGCATCTAGAGAAATGAGCATTGGGCAGTCCTTATAAAGCCTTCTGATCCTTTTCAGGGTGAGAAACCAAATGTAGCCTCCAGCTACTAGAAATTTTACTTCACATTCTAACTCTCATTTGCTTTTTGGGATTCATTGGGATTTGGCTTTTACTGGTTGCCATGCCGGGAGGATGACTTGGCAACATCTGGCTTAGATACACAGTGGAATTCAAGGTTTAGATCTAAATCTTAGTCTGGCCTGCAATTCACCTCTTCCTGTCCCTACATGAACAAGTAAGTAAAATGTTCAAAAATTGCAGCTGGGAAAGTCATAACTTTCTGTCTCCCATTTCACTCAACAAGGCAGTGGTACAAAGCAGATACGGCATGTGGCAAATTCTAGGAGTGGATTTTTCATTTCATTGATTATTGCTATGTTCACATACATGTTCACAAATATAATAGACACTTGCTTCTCTACCACATGGGCAACAGTCAAATCAAAAGGTTTCACATGAAGCAGATAAAAATATCATGGCAGAGGAGTGTAGTTAAAACTTTCTTTTCCTATGTTGTGTGTCTCATGTCCACTAGGATGAACACAAAGGGCATGACCCTTCAAATTTCATATGCTGAATTCACACACACAAAAAAAAAAATAATAATGGGGAAGAATGCTATAATCCTTTTTTTTGAACACTATTTCTCTTCTTTCCACAAGTAGTGTGAGACTTTTTGAAATATTTGTATCTACAGAAGATAGGAAATTTTTATTAAATAATTTTAGCTTTAAAGGATAATGTGTCCCTCAAGAATTTTCCTGCTTTATGGGAAAATAATTGGTAGCTGGTCTATTCAAAGTTGACAGTTAATAATGAGAATCATGTGAGAATGAGAAAGAGTGTTTAACTGTGTTTAACTCAGTTTTACAGCAGGATTATGGCATAATGAACTGATGCCATACTAAGGCCAGAAACTGGGGTATCATTGTGAGTGTCAGATTCCACAGTCAAGAATCCTGTTTTGCAGACTTTTTCCTCTTGATGGCCAAGAATGAGGTGATGGTATATACCTGATGGCATTCAAAAATATACATGGTTATGTCTATTTCCTTTTAATTCTTCTATAATGTAATAAAAACAACTATACACATCTATGTACATAGATAGATCTACACATCTATCGATCAGCTATGTTGTATCACCTCATATTCCACTTTAATGGGGTGTTGACCAGTTTTATTAAAGTTCTAAAGTTAGAATAATCTCATTTAAAATCAATTCTAAAAGCTTGACTCAGTGGGTTTATTTAGTAAAACCTGAATTGCATGTACTGCATAAAGGTGATTACACACAAATGTCATGGTGACTCTTTCCTGTTAATCAAGCCAGTGTTCTTTGCTTAGAGATGCAACACACAGAGATGTGTTGCATCTCTATTGCATCTGAAAAGGTGAATTCCATTGCTCAAGTGAGTTTATAAGACTGATAGGACAACATCTGACTGATAAACACCTGTATGAAATACAACACAAACCTTTTTTTTTTTTATTATTACTAATTACAGGATAATAGGCTCTGTTGCTGTTGTATTGGTATTTTGAAAATGCAGTGATTAAGCAGAGAGTTCTGAAATATGACATGTCCTCAAAAGAAAACAAGTCTGTTCTAGAAGTACATTAAGAACAGTGGAGTTTTTTTCCCTCTCCTTAGTGTATTATTTTTGTGGGTTTTTTCTTCCTAATTTTGCTTGTCTGTTGAGCTAATTAATTCTTTTCCAATATTCTGTTCTGTGTTACCTCATAGTAGCCATCCTGCAGCTCTTGACTGACAGTCACTGAACTTTCAGATGCAATGGTACATCTGCTCTATCACCATCTGTTGTCACAGTCAGGACTTGATCA